AAAGGGAAGTGGCAAAATTATCTGAGAAAAATAGACTGTGGAAAAGTAAGTATCAATAGTATGGGATATATGGCTTTTGTAAGCAGAGAAGGAGACAGGGCTATCTGATAGGTTGAAACAGTAAGAGATTTTAGGCATCTGCAATGCTGTATTGCAAAGCATTGGGATTAAATTTATACCCTCTCCATCTCTTCCTCCCTGAACTAATCCCTACGATGACTGACTTGAGTGTGTGTGTGTGTGTGTGTGTGTGTGTGTGTGTGTGTGTGACTATTCAGGCATGTATCTTCTGAACAAAAGCCTTTTCCGAAAGTCTGTTTCTGTATTCTGGGACCCCCAGCCCTTTGCTTTCTTAGACATCTTACTTACCCATGTCACAATACTGCATCAGTTCCAGAGAAAAGGAGAGCAACTTAGAGATCTTGATGCTTTGCTCGTATGACATTCTCCTTTCTGAAAGCCCAATTTAGATCTTCTATTCAGCAGTACATATGGAGCCAAAGAATCTGTTTTCTGGTTCTGTGCACCCATTCTCTTCTTCCATTTTCAATCAGTCCTATTACATTCTCTCCTATGACTTTTCTATGTTCTCCCTTGGGATCCCAAGATTTGAATAATTATAATGGAGGTTTGGCTAGAGTGACTGATCTTGGCCATGAGTAAGCTGTTGGAACTACACCAGCTTTTCCTTCTAGGTCATCTACAGCGATGGGGTCAGATAGGAGTACTCAGCAGACCCAAATAAGCCTCTGTGGAAGCTTCCTGCTCGCCCAGGAGAACTGTGGTGCATGTAGTATTCAGCTGCATCTGTGCTCATATAAGCCTTTTGACCTTGGGGATAATCAACTCCATGATACTCTTCTTTTTTACATATATAGATTTTATAGATTTTATTTATTTACTTGAGAGAGAGTGTGAGAGAGAGAGAGCACAAGCAGGGGAGGGGCAGAGGGAGAGCAAGAAGCAGACTCCCCAATGAGCAGGGAGCACACATGGGGCTCGATACCAGGCCCCTGGGATCATGACCTGAGCTGAAGACAAGATACTTAATCAACTGAGGCACCCAGGAGCCCCTCCATGATACTATTCTTTTAAATAAAGTTGAGCCAATGAGTCTACACTTGGTGTTTTCAGTAACTGCAAGTTACAAGAGCAAAGAGCAATTGCAGTAATTTTAGTTTTACTTTTCAGTAGTAAAGTAGTTTTTGAAATCAGCTGAAACAACAACTGACCTTGCAAAATCTGATTTACCCAACCATGCTTGATACAAGCATGAGATCTATAGCCAAAGCTGAGTAAGTCTGTGAAGTATTAGCACAAAACCAATCTTCCCCACAAGTCATAATGAAAATAATAGTATGTGTTGTTTTTAAAAAGGCTGCAAAAACTTTTCACATGTATGGTCTCATTTTATCCTTACAATGAAGATGGTTTAGTCCCCTAAGAGATGTAGGCAAGCTTAACTAATTTAAAATATTGCCCTGCAGACTTCATGAAGAGCCAGCCAAACTCATTAAGGAGCTTTCGGTGAGGTATCAGAAGCTAAGTTACCAATGATACACCATAAGCAGCATAATGCTTTTAGGACCCCGGAATTGCAAAGTCATTGTCTACAGAGATGGACTATGATCATTTTGCTGGTGCTCCCCAGTATGATTCTTTGTAATCAAAGATGTTGCCTAAATGCAGCTGTCCTCCATATCTTGCTTTAGCAAGAGGGACCAGCTTCCAGTCATCCCACGCATCTCAGCTGTGAGAGTCCGGCTGATAAATAGAAGCAGCCAAGCCAAAAGCTACTGAAAGCCCTGGCCAGAGCTTGCCAGGTCTAGCTACCCTCGTGTATAGTGAGTATGTCAGTGGGGTGTCTGCCCCATTTTCCTTGGGTGAGAAGCTCATGTTTCTATAAATAAATAAATAAATAAATACCCAGAAAAATTCACTACTCTGTCACAGATGGCAGAAAAATGTGTTCTGTGTATCTGACTATTCCCTTAAGAGCACATTTTCTTTTCACCCTAGGAACGCTATCAAACAAACTGTGGTTCAATACTGGCATCCTGTGGCCAGAGAAATTCATCAAATCTCTGAAAATCTCAGATCCTCAGGTTCTGAACATTCCTGGCTATCTGTACCAAGCAGCTTTTCACCATTTCCTGAAGGCTGTTCAGTCACCTCACATAGTCTGTGAAAGCACCTAAGGTAAGATGTATTGAGATCAACTATCATTTCAGAAGGCTAACCCAATCCTGTATATCAGGGTGAAAATAAATGATAATAGAAAGTCTAGAGAATGTTACCCAACAACAACAACAACAAAAATCTGATATGAAGCTCTCCAAGTTCACACTGAGCTTTTTCCCTAACAAGGAGGCAGTTGGGAAAAGAGGCAAGGTGGTGGGCAGGACTCTGCTGTTGGTGTGTCTATGTACGAGAGTTTTGTTTTGGCCAAAGGCTAGGAAACTACTTGGTATTGCAGCAATAAATATTATGAATTGTCTTTATTTTACTACAAGAATGCTGCCTAAGAGGAAAATCAAACAAAATTATGGAGGACTGTTGTTTTTTGCTACTCACTTTCAAGGCGGCTATAAAGATAAAGGGTTACAAGGCCCGCAGTTGAAAGGCAGAATTGCCATGCTCCCTGGTAAGACGTAATGGCATTTTTGAGATCCAAATAACCATTATGGGACTACCGCATCACGGCTGCTTTCACAATGGCTACACTAAATTTGGAATCCTTGGAGATGTTTGAAACATCATTAGAAACAGAAAAACAACAAAAAACTTCAAAATCACATAACCATGGAAAACCATCAAAAAAAGGATCAAGTGTGAAAACTGACAAAGAAATGTTGCAAAATATGTACATGGTAGCAAGGGGAAAGGATGTTTAGAGTTGGCTGCCTCCCAGCTGCAGGAGCACAATGCCTACTACGCAGAAGAAGGCACAGAATCTGCTCTCTCATCATGCTCTGCCTCATAATCGTCCAACTCTAGGGCTACTAGCTCTCTCTTCCTCAATTCCCCTGCTTTCCCATGGCTCTCGGGGCTTTGAACTGTCTCTAGCCAGGATCTGAGACAGACACAGACCTCGCAATGATGAACGCTAATCTGTCCCAAACATTGGTAATGAGGACAGCAATCCTAAGGGTAGTTTGCTTAACAATATTCTTTTTTTTCTTTTCAGGAAAGCCTCTATTTTTATTGCCTACAACAGAGAAAGTGTAACTAAAAATACTCCGCAGAAAACTAGTGTGATCTAACAGGAAATAGAGATTAAATACTCTGCCAGACAATCAGTGTGCCCGCGTTAGCCTTAAGGAACCCAACTTTTAGAGTAATGCCTCTTCAGGGAGTAAGTGTTGCTGGCTAGAAAAAAAATTCAGCTACAAATCGTAGCATAAGGTCTAAAGATACCAAATACCAATTAAAAGCTAATAAAGAGTAGTAGCAAAAGCCTATTTGAAATGGCTGACTTCTAAATGAGTTTGTGTAGCACACTGGAGAGCCAATATGTATACATATTTCGGGCTTTTTTGTTTTTTAGTTTTAGTAACACTGACATTATTTATTAACCATTTTACCAGAAATATCAGAAATCTCCCTGAACTTCTTACTGGGCCTTTAAAAATTAATTATGGTTAAAGAAGTAAATTAAAATGAAGGACAAGAACAATAGCTGTTTTCTAAACTCACTAAACTCACCAAACTCACCAGCAAGAACATGGCTGTTCCTCTGGCTACAGGTTTTTACTTTGCTCTTGTCCCCCAAGCACCTACTGGAGAAAGAGCATGGACTTTGAAGTCCAGCAGATGTGGGTTCAAATCCTAGCTCAAAGGTTTAAGATCTGTACACTCAAAGATAAATCCTCTATCTGCCTCAATCCTGGTTTCCCACCAGGTATGGGAATAACAAACATTATCTCTCACAGGGAGCTTGTGGAAGATGGAATGAGATGATGTGTGTGGGGAAAGGCCTCACCCAGCTGAGCCCCTGACAAAGGGGTAGGCTCCCCACAGAGGCTGCTCCTAAGTACCCTTCCTACCTACTCATAGCCTATATTGCCTCTTTCCCCAACTTACCACGTCACCAAGCCCTTTGAGTTTTTCCTCTTTAACAGCTTTCACTTTCTCTTGGACCCTGCCAGTATTGTCCATATTCAGACTCTTCTTAATCCTTGTACGGGTTACTGTGGTAACTACCAATCCTGAGTCTCTTCAGCCTTGACCCTCTCTAATCTATTCTCACTATACCCAGGATGATTTTTATGAAATACAACACTACTTGAGTTTGAATTCTAGCTGGTCTACCTAATATCTGCATGACTTGAAACAAGTCACATGAATTCTTCCACAGTATAACGCAAAATCTATAAAATGGGGATGAGAACTTTTCCTACCTCAGAAGGCTGTTATACAGATTTAAATAAGGTCATATATGGGCTAACACACGGAAATCACACAGTAAATATGAGTTGTTATTCTTCTCTTCATTGTTCTTGCTGTTTTTATGACCCTTCTGTGAATTGCCATGCCTATTAAATAGGGTTGTGTCATAATCGTGATATTTAGGACCTTTGTGGGTCTCTATCTCACTCCCTACCAAATCTCATGTCACTCAGCAAGTAGCATGTTATGATATAGAATCAATAAACTGAGTCCAACCCAGAATAAAAAATAATTAGGTCAGTAAGGGATTCAGGAAAGCAGTTAGGTTATTTATAGAACTGCTGATAAAATTCTATCTAAGAAAAATAACTATTCTCTTAAGAAGTGATTAGAGCAGCTCAAGCTAAATATCCTGAAAGGATTGAGTGGCTGTACCCTAAACATCCTTCCTGCTTTTTCTTCTCCTAGTTCTAATTAAAATGCAATAATGTATTTAAACTAGCAATTGTCTTACTTATATTCTTAAACTTTAAGGGGTGTGGGTGTACAAATAGATGGGTTTTCCACAACATGGTCCCTCAAGAGGTCCTGAAACTTTACAAAAGTCTTACCTGACATTCTTCTAAACCACTTGGGTTTCTTGTCCCATATGATAAAGAGATAGTATGCAGGAACCCCAGTCAGAGTAATGATGAAGCCAATCCCTGTACTAAATGGGTCCGAATACAGGGAAAGGGCAACCATGAAGAAACACGTGAAGGAAAACAATGCTGGGATGAACAGCGGCACCTGGAACACAGCACAGGGAAAAGAAAAAAAATCACTTCAAACGGTTCCAGAGACAGAAGATGGGTTCAAGAGGAGCACATCAGTCATAGGATCGGATGATCCCCGCTGGTCATGTGAGCAGGTGACCGGCACCATCCTACCTTTACCTTAACAGCAACTTTGATAGGGCGCAGAGAATGTAGCAAACACACTCCCTTAAATTAAAAAAAAAAAAAAATCTTTGAATAGAATAAAACCTGAGGATAAATAAGTGTGTTTCATTAGAGATGTTTTGTTTGAATGGTTGGACTAGATAAGTACCATTATAATTTACGTTTTTGATTTTAAAAGGTTGGCTCTGATAATTATGACTAGAATCTGCTTTAATGTAGAGTCAAGAGCAACGGCTGCTTGTTACACGTTAAAGTCTTTCAGTGCATATTGATTTTCTGTTGGAGATTCACAATAAGAACTGACAGGAATAAAACAGACCAATTCCTATTCAACCGCTAATAAAGATGTTGCTAGCATTAGGCAATGGATGTAATTAGAAACAAATTCTGACAACATGACTGACAACATTATCTGTGTTATTTTTTAAAAGCAAATAAATAGTGAGGTCAAATCAATCCATGGACATTCACAGCTAAAGGAGATGAGAAATAGATTCGTCAGCCCTCCCAAAAGGAAATGCTTGGTTATAGTAAAAGGTATTCTCTTAAGTGATACATTCATACATATACCTTCACCTTCCCCATGTGTGTACACTTTTATTCCTTCTAGAACATATAATGTAAAAAAAGAGCAATGTCACAAGTCGTAAGATTTAAGAATACTTAAAATGACTGTTTTGTAAAGCAGCATCCTTTGTAGAGTTTCAATTAGTGACAATTCCACATATATCTGCCTCCCTCTTTCTCAGCATGGCTATCCACAATTACTCAGCATAAAGATACAAGTATCCCACACTTTGAACACATCAGGTCATTAGACACATCCAAGAAATAGCAACATAACAAACACCTTATATATATATCTATATATCTACCCCTTTTCAGAGATGTGACATACAAAGTTGAGTACATCACATAAACGACTTGATGAATTATTTTTCCAAGCTAACATAAATTCAACATGAAGGCACTAACCTGCAAGAGTTAAACATTTTATTCCAGAGGATGCTGCCCCCCGCCCAAGCTCCTCATCATCAGGTTATGATAAAGGGAGGACTAGGTATTAGAAGAAAGATTTATGTAAACCCATCAAGATTACTGAGGTTACCTTGAAAGGACGATGCATATCTGGGCGTTTGTATCGAAGATAAATCAGCCCAGCAACCGCCAGCCCAATAAAAAGCCACCTGGCAAAACTGAGGAAATTCAAAAGGCTGTAGAGGTCCCCAGAGAAGAGCATTATCATCGTCAAAGGGTACTAGGGTGAAGGGGGAGAAAAACCTCGCTCAGTGAGTTCAAAGAGAGCACAGGTGATAACAAACAATAACATCACTACACATTATGATTACCTTTTTCATATGATTATTTATACTGATAAACGACCACAGTGATTAAAACCTATATTCAATTAACTTCTTATCTATATTCTGCTCTTATACCCCATTACGCACCAGTAACAGCGTGAGAAGATCATCACCATTACCACTTAATCAGACGGAATGTTATATGGAAGTGTAGTTCTTAGTTGTTTTTTCATTTGAGAGAAGAGAACGTGTTTTCCAAGAGTAAAACACAGGATCGTCAATGACTTAAACTTAAAGACCCAGAGACTGAGATGGTTAGCAAATAACTAATACTAAATATCAAAAGTGTACCCAATTAGAAAATTCGCAGAGCACTCTGTAAATGGTTTCTGACAAGCCCTTGGCTATGCACACACGTGAAACACAGCCACTTCGAGGTGACTCCGCCAACTCCTGAATGCAAAATATTGACCTTTCCTTCCTCCACACTTACTCTCCCCCTGCGCTTGCCATGTGTGACCCTCAAGACCACAGAAAAGAATGAAGCACAGAGGTCAGCATAGCAAGTCTCTGCAGCTGCACACGCCAAGGACAGCACGACTGATAGCAGAGGCTTAAAATGGAAGCCCTCTCCTCCGAGTAATACATCCTGTTCCCACGAGTGAGTGACGGTTTAACTTCCAGATTCCACACAGAGAGTACAAAGTATGCATACTTTACAAAGAGATTTCAAAGGAAACATTCTGAAACAAATTAAATACATGAAACAAAATGTCCAATGTATTCTATGGTGCTCCTGACAGCAGATTCCACTTGACAAAAATGTTACAAAAATAGTAGGTAAAAACGAATATAACATTGCCAATGGGTATTATAAAGGACTTTTGCACCTTATGCAGTTTTTTGTATCCCACGCTTCACAAACACTTTGCATTAAGAATTTTACAACTCAAATTTCAGTTTTGGTGCTTTTATTTCTTCCCTATAGAGTTGGTCTCAGATAGCTCACTTTTAATCACAGAATTACTGCACTGTCTAGGACTTCACGCGATTTTTTTCTGTTAGTTTTGTATGCATTTCCCTATAAGGGGCCTACGATACTATAATGTACACCTAGGTGTTTCTGGACTGTGGCTTTTAGCTCCACTTTCAGTTCGCAGAATTGGGACTTGTTGCTCTACATCCTTTTCTGTGAGGCTCTGTGTCAGTGACAGAAGCCAAGGTAGTCATTTCCCTCAGAGCTCGCAAATTTCTACAAAGGTGAAAAAGAAGTGATGTGCCTATTGCCCCATAGCATCAAATATGCATCAGAAATACTGAACAAAGGGAAGCGATGGAAAATATCCTGCCTCCCAAACTCCAAGATACACACAGAGAGAGCCAATCCAGCAATGAATGAGAAAGTAAAGCCCTATCTAAAGTCTGCTTCGAAATCCTCTTTGCTAACCGGTTATTCAAACTTATATGTAGGTATACTTTTTAATATGCATTACCAAAACAATAACTGCTGGCAGAGGGGTGTGCTTGCGGACATGAATCATGGAGAGGAGTTCTGGAAGGTGACCCTCTCGAGACGCAACATAGAATAACCTGATGGGAGAAAAACGTGGCTGGCATTGACTGTACAATTGATCATTTCAAAGAGAAAAATCCAGAAATCTAAGAGAAAACTTGCATCTAACTCCATACCAAACGGTTTGGCTTTTCTTAGGTGGATTACTTCAGTTTCACTGTTCAGGTAAGGCAGAGAATCATCAAGAGAAATCTGACTTCAAATTTTATAAAATCTGCCAATAATTTCTCTTATTCTTTGAGGAGACACAATAGCAACATCCGGTTCAGCATGGCTCTCCCTACATAGGAATAGTTCTAGATTCCTAGTATTGTATGTGTGCTGTCCATCCAATCCAGCCCAACATACACACACATGCACAGGTACGCGCACACACAGACATGCCCATGTACACGCGTAACATTTACATTTTTCTGATTGGATCTTAATCTTATGTTAAAATAAAAGGGGTTTTTGTATCAAACAAAACAAAAGGGATACGGGTGGTAGGGTGGTGATTTCTGGTGTCTCTTACTTTACTTTTTTTCTTGTCACCTTTAGAGAAACAAAAGATTTTATCACCAGAAATAAAATGCTGTTGTTAGACTCTGTAGACATACTATTAAAAAAAAAAAAAAAAAAGGCTCCATGCCCTGCTTCAGTGTAGGCTATGAGTAGACAAGCAGTGCCCTCTAATGGGCAGAATGAGACATGCTGTTGATACTTGGACAAAGATTTCAATCTTAATGTCTCTTTAAAAACAACAGCTTTGGAGGCACTATTTCTTTTCTTTTTAAACCTACCCTTATCACATCCAATCTCAAAAACAGAAATGCATTTCTGGAAATGCTTGAACTCACTCACCTGGAGACAGCAAACACACCACCATTCATGGAGCCAAAGCAGGAGAGGGCAACAAAGATCGGAACTGCTAATGAGAAATTTCCCAGTAGCCGCTCAGAAAAGGTCTAGTGAAAGACAGAATGAAGCAAATTAATGCTCTGCCAGAAAGTGAAATAAAATGAAGCAATTTAGTCCAAACTCGCTCTATGACTTTCTTTTAGCCTGCTGATACGTGTATGTTTTATAATCTTTCTTTTTGGTTAGGGTCAGACTAACTTCTTAGACAATAATCAAAAGCAAGTACCATGGCATTGCTTGTTGCAAAACTATGGGCAAAGGTCTAAACAAGCACCTTCTCTCTACTTTCAAAAATCAACGATCCATTTATGGAATCTTTATCAACTGTGATATCTATCGTCTCTGATTCTGGTAGGTAGAAAAAGCTCAATTCAGAAGTTCTCCTATTGGAAACAGAAAGCCTTCTGTAAAATGCCTTCCCTTTAGCCTGGAAAGCCACATTTTGATAGCGAAGTACAAAGGTACACCGAGAAGTATCACCCATACTTGTTTCATATACCAGTCCTTCTGTTATGACACAGAAGTACAGTGAGATATAACTGATGACTTAATCATTTATATCGCATATACGAGCAGTTCTGAAAATCTTTTGCCCCAAATAATCACATTAGCTGAATGTCTGTTTATTGAGTCCCTCCCTCCCTCTCAGGTATCTGCCAATTCCTTCTGTGGTTTTCTATAAAAAGGCTAGAATGCAAATACAATGAGAAAATCCAGCCACAGAAAATATGAAAGATAAATGACAAAACTTCTGAAATTTCCTTTTATGCCATGGCACAGGCAACACTGCAAATTTCCATGAAGGATGTATTAAACACACACACACACACACACACACACACAAAACAACTGTGTGGGGTTCCTTAGTTGTCCTTGATGCAGCTGGTGCTGTGTAATTAATAGACCACATTATACTCAAAGAGTAAGTGGTGCCCTTTGTCCAGTAAGACAAGATAGCTGGCCCAACCTCAGTAAGCTCTGGACACTTGGTTGTCTGGTAGGACTTACAGCAGCGGCAAAGTCTTTTTTTTTTTTTTTAATACAGTGAACACGTACATAGGTTCACATGAAATGAGATAATTTGTTCCCTGTGGATGTTGCCTATATGAGGTAATAGCGACTATTTTAAAAGGAACCGACATCTAGTGATGGGAAGTTACTTTTTCACCTTTCATTGTTATGAGGTCATGAATAAATGCCCCCTTACCAGCTAAGTTTTTATACAAAATAAAAGTCTGTGTCACAGAATAACAGGCCCATAACCTGACCTTTGAGAGCAAAGATGGTCCTGAAGTCAAATAAATTTTGGAAAATGCTGTAAAATTATGAGTATCCACTTCTTAGGGAGCTAAAATGTACATTAGCATCTTTAATAATCTGAGAAGTGCTGTAGCAATGACATCTGTTTAACTTTGAATAACAGCATTTCTAAAAATTAGTAATATCCTATTACTGGTATTCAAAAGGATATACTAGAACAAACAACTATATATGGTCATCCCTTGGAAATTCTCAAGTGGTACTTTGGGAAAAAGATTTTAAGTTAGCATTTGAAAAGTTTACAAACAGGAAAGAGTACAGAATAAATTACAATTTGCGTACCAAAAAATACATTCATTTAAATTCAGTAACTGCCCACCTATCCTGAAAGTCACGTTGGGAGAATACTATCTTCTGTTCAACATGCACACATGGAAATGTGTTTTCAAGCATGAATATGGGGAAATGTTTTACACGAAATGAACAATGCAGAGAAATCATATAGGACTTTGGCTGTATCAGTTAAATGGAGTATGCTAAGGTGTGTTCTAAAATTTTTAAATGCTCATTATTATTCAGGTCAAGAAATGATCACTGAATTTCAAAACACTTTCTGCTGGAGGGAACTACTGTGAAATTGCATCAACTCATTAACCTAAATTCAAATTGGCCTTTTCTCAACTTGGACTTACCACCGCCACCGCATTTGACAGCAACAGCTCCTCGGCACTAATGGTCGTAAAGTAGGCCACATTTGTTAGCACATAGCCAACGGTGACGACGGCCATGGAGATACAAATGGCAAGGGGGACGGTTCTGAAATGCACAAAGGAATTGCTTATTAGTCAGCATTGTTAGTCATTCTCTGAAAGCAAAGACCGTACAACAACAGGCTAATTCAAACAAAGAATAAAATAGTATGTATGATAATTATAGGCTCTGTTGGGCATGTATATTTTATCAGGGTGAAGCACTACAGAGTCCTTTGTAATTTAATAAGGTCCATGGGAGCAGAGACTTTATTGTCTTGTCTACTGCTCTACCCCCAGAACATGTGGGTCCATCCCATTCTTGAAATCCATAAATGCTACAGCAGTGTTTCTCACACGTGACCATGCATCAGCTAGAAGACTTGTTGAAACACGGTTTGCTGATCCCATCTCAGAGTTTCTGATTCAGTAGGCCTTGCGTTTCTAACAAGTTCCTGGGTGGTTGTGCTGCTGCTGGCCAGGGGACCACACTTTGAGAACCATGGGCCTATATACCTTTCTAATACTAATTTACTGCCTCGACACCTTTCTAATACTAGGCCCCAGGAAGGTCTTTCACATTCAGCTTTTCCCCTTCAGTAGCTTCCCGTATCAGCAAATAAGTTGTACGCTTTTGGCTGAGTGAGAGCAAGATATATCTACCATTCTAAATGATAGTAATGATAATTTTATATATAACACAAAAAGCACAGAAGTGCTCGCAATAATGACTTTGCACTGCCCTGCTGTGAGTTCAAAGGAAGCTCAAGATCGTGAGTTTCTATTAAAGCAACAGTGCAGATAATCCCATGAAATTAGAGGTGACATGCTGAGAAGTACATATGACCAGACCGTGCTGACACTCTGTGGCATCCACAAGTACCCGGCACAAATGCAATGTTATGTCTTCATTTAATGCACCGGGAAAGCCAGGAGTTACTGACCCTAATAATTTGATTCCGTGTTACCGATACACATTACTTGCTTAACATAATCACCTCTTCAGACTCTTTCCAGTTCAAGCAACTTAAACCTTCAGCTCCCTGCACAAAGGCTGATGGGTTTTTTAGCCACACAGCTTATCAGCCCTCATGGAGCCTTAACCCTGCTGGGTGCCACTAATGAAGACCTCAATATAATTTCTTCCAAGATGAAAATACAGTTCAGAGCTGGGAGAGGAAAAAAATTTAAAAAGAGGCACAGCCTGCCTCACTCCCCAAGCTGGGTATGTTTAGCACACAAAGTCCCAGCTCATTAGGCTGAACAGCACTATCCCCTGTTGAGAACGGGCAAACCTAGCCAGTCAGCAACTGCCATTCATTATGCTGCTTGGAGCCTGACACTTCCCCTGATCCCCAAAGCCTTAAGCCTTGATGGGGAAACACACTGACCTCTAAATCCTGGCATCCTAATATAAAAGTAGCAGATGTTCCCCTTCCCCAGTGTGAAGAGGGTCCTGTGGAATTTTCTGTTAACACGATAACATGCATTGCTAGCTGTGATTGATAAATGCTAAATTTAAGCGGAGGAAATCACTGGGCCAATTAAATACAAAGGAGTGAGAGGCATAAGGCACATTAAAGATGAATTCTGTTTCTCTGAAAGAAAGACGAGATGTAAATGCAAAGGGCTAAGAAGGCAAACTTGAAGGTATATGTGCAGCTTTTCAACCACTCACTTGTATTATTTTAAACTTGAATCTTTTCTGTTTTTACAGCATCCCAAATGGTGTGTTAAGCTCCTTCTCTGGAGGAGAGAAGCAGGGAGGGAGAGGGGGAGAGAGAGAGAGAGACTCTCTATTCCTTGCAAGGATTGGATTAAGAAGTGTAAAGTTTCTGTTAATAAAAACTGAGGTGACATTGTTAAATGCAGTGAAGCAGCTAACCTGTCCAGGACAGGTAGCCCTGTCACATTGTGTGGCACTGCAAAATAGCAGGGACAAGTCAGTCTGAAAGGTGGGCTGTGGCCCTCCCAGCATAGAATCTCGCCTCTGCTCGGCTCTTCCAAGGCAACCTCCCCGCTTCCTGCTTTGACATTATCGTATGTCTGAGGGAAGTATTCTAAACTGATTTTAGCAGAAAGAATCCTAAAAAATCCAACTTTTTTTTCTCTGCTTGTCAATGACAAAAACTATAGCAATAGCTGCTGCCGTTTACTTGGTGGCTGTTACATGCCGGGTATTTTATTAGGTACTTTACATATTTGCCTCATTTTATCTTCGGAAAATCCTGTGAGTTAGGAGCATCATCACCATTTTATATGTGAGGAAATGAAGTCTTAGAGAGTCTAAATAACTGTTTAAGGATTCCCAACTGGTAAATGGGAACCCAGAAATCGGCTGATCGATCCTTGCTGAAGTCACAGCATTTTAACCACGAAAGTGTACTATTCTCTCTCTCATGCATGTGAATCCTCAATCTTTTAACTCTTCATTTTCAGAGAAATCATAATTGTTGACTATGTTTATTGCAAAGCTCTTATCAAGACTGTATTTCTCATGTAGTCACTGAAAATGCAGTTTTATTTATTATAGAGGCCGGGAAGAGAGTTATTCCATGATTTTTATAATTTTTCTGTGTAACATGAACCGTAATGTCAAGTGAATGTTTTCAAAAGTTTCAATTTTTAGGAAATGGGTTTTTTTTTTTTTAGATTTAAAAGACAACGGAAGCTCACTTAATAAATTTCCCTAAACAATTTTTGCAGGAAAGGAGGAAAAGCAAGCATGTTTGTCAGAGAAGCTGAAATGTATAGATTATCAACAATTTTACGATCAGCCAGATATACTATATAGATACTAGAGGGAAAAATCAAAGGAGCTTAAAATACAAGACAAAAGTGAGAAAGGGTCCAACCTTGTTGCAATTCATAACATGCCCAGGAATTCCTCTCTGAGTAAATTAAGCCGTGAGAGTTGGAGGGGGTGTGGCAAAAGAGCCACTGTCTTCTGTCTCTAGGTTCCCTTTCACTTTGACAAAGGGAAGGAGGAGAAGAGTTTGTGGCTGCCTTGGCTTAAACAGCAATCAATTACCGAGGAAAGCAGTTGACGTGTTCAGAAGGGCTTGGCACCATGTGGTTAACTCCTGGGTTTCAAGCATCAAGGCTTAAGAGCCACTGGGTGAGCTGATAAAAGCTATTAGGCCATGCCAGAGCAATCTTTCTGGAGGCTTTAGATGCAGAGAGCAGATAAGCACGGTTAGTAACTCAAGATTAAGGCAAATGGCACGTGATAATAAAATGAATTAAAGGGACGAGTAGACCACTGATATTTCAAAGCCTCTGTGTTATTGTGAGGTACCCTCCAATTCTAAGTGCAACAAAAGCATTGTCTTTAAGCTGAATAAAAATGACTCACACCTATGAGTTCTACTCTTTTTTGAATGTTTGTGCATGTCTGCTATGATTAACAAAATACAAATGTACTGAAAAGAGTTACTTAATCCTTAAGACCTCGTCATTATACAAAGTCTTTTCAATTAAAGGCCATTAAGTATGTGAGAATCCAATAATTTTATTAGCTGCACTTAGTTTTCAATCAAAAGGTCTTGAATAGTCTTCTTTTCCTGTGGGTTTACTTTAAATTGGTACCTATAACCCGTCTATGTCACACATGGATGAATATTTGCTTTCTTTGAAATTATTAAATGGAAGTCTCTGCAACATCTGCTTAAAAGCACTTCATTCTAAGGAGCAGACCTCCCCAGGAATACAAATGGTCCCGAAAGTAATGGCTGGTAGCTTATATTTGTATAATCTACAAAGCACTGACAAATACACTTTATCATCAAATATACACATGCCATTCCAAATCCTTTGTGGAATGAGAGAGAGTATAAACAAATAACAAACAAAATTCACAACAACCGAATGAAGCAAGAGGTTGATGAAATTGTTCCCACCATTTTCAAATAAGGGAACCAACACTCGGAAAGTTAAGTGATGTGGCCAAGGTTACAAGAATAAGTAGGAGGGCTGAAACTTGAGCCTACATCTTCCAGATTCCACATTCACCATATATCCTGTCATGATACCATGTTTCCCTTGTGCCTGCTTTAACTCCATGGACAAGGTCCCTAGGATTCTTATGAGCTGACAAACATGTGTTTTATTTTGTATAAGTAATCCAAATACCCGAAGGCTGGATGTAACAATGTGACACGTTTTATGCCAAGTGTATTTTCTCTATGCACCCAACAGTCATCACAAATAAACTTGCAAATAATGCCGCATGGGATGCATTTTTCAATATGCTTTGCAACTGTATAATAAAACATCAGAAATGACCATTGTTTCCAATGTTTTATATTGACTAGAAAGACTCTTGCTGCAAACACAGAGTCAACCTCGCTTGATTCTCCAGAGATTTGAGGACACCTGAAGGTTACAGGGATTCCTGATTGTCAAACCATTTGAGGCATTTAGTCATCACTTGAATTTAGAATATTCCTAAAATTGTTTTATAACTTGATCCAAATTTTCCTAGATTTGTGTGAACCAAAATAATTCACACACAATCCCAAGTGTTGCATCCACACAATGGGGACCACAGAACTCATTGATCGTGGAGCATCTAAAGTTGTCTTTGAGCCAGGGGACTGGGCATGATGACAGTCAGTTCTGTGAAGCCTGCTCTTTTATGTTCAAGAATTTTCTAAGGGAAGTAACTGATGCTTCACACTTTCTATTTAAAAATCATTAATATTTTAACACATGTATATAACATTCAGGAGAAAGGAGCAAGGGAAGGAGGGCTTAAGAAGTGCAAGAAAATGGTAAACTTCTTAATATGTGAGATGCAAAAAAAAAAAGTACAACAACTTGCAAAATATTTTTGCAAGGCTATTAATAAACTAGGCACTATTTATTCATATATAATTGAAAATGTAACTGTGATTCATCTCAACACTACATATTTAAAATTATATTAAGTACCTCTTGATTCCAAGTTTTTATTTTAGTATCATCTTGTTTCACACTTTCTTTATAATTACCCTATAAAGACCTTGAGAGCTTTTCTATAGCCCTGACACAGAAATGACTCAAGCACCTCTTTTATTTCTCTCTTTT